TGGAGCTCAGCAGTGTCGAAGACAAAAAGTCCATCAGTTTCGGTGTTAATGTTAATGAACAAGTGTCTTTATCTGATGGAGCATCAGATAAAGAAAGATAAAGAAACGATATTTTGGATCTTTATGGACTTTTACTGGAATGAAATCTGAACCAGAGGAAAGTTTTTAATGATCACCATGGAAACTGGAGAAATAAGTAATACACGTATTAGATGGAAATGGTGAACGGCCACTAATGTTTTCAGGCGTCTCAGCAGCTGTCACCTCTTCATGACCTCTGCTTGGCCCTGGACTGATGAAGTTTGGGAATGCACCTTTAATTTCAGATCTGCTGTTCACCTGATGTTACCTGTAGCTGCAAACTGCACCAGAGGTCAGAGTGACGATGACTTTCCACTGATTCCTGCAGGCTCCAGTGGACCAAAGTGTTTGACCTGCTTTGAGTTTGAAAGCTTTGAACCTGAAGATCATTTTGGCAGGAAGTTGTGGTTCGTTTGACACAAAACCAGATGAACAAAGTGTCTCTCTGTCAGTGCAGCAGCTCAGGATGGAGGTAACTGCTCTCTGCGCCGCCATCGGTGAGTGAAAATCAGCTATAATTTACTTTAAGTAACAAGATGGTTTAGTTCTGAACCAGCTTGTGTTTTATTGATTCTTACTCACTTTTCAGGTTTAGATTTAATTTTCTTTTTAGTCCAGAAGAAACTTTAGTAAAACATTTCTCACCTTACTGTGACTAGAAACTTTTTTATGAAAACCATGTTCTGCTGAATTATTACTTTATTGTGGGGAAAAGTTTTTCTGCTCCTCTGGATCAGATCATTTCCTGTTTTGGTGTTAGCATTGATCGCTATTGATTTATCAGGTCAAATCGATTATTTATGACGATCAACGGTAACCAACTCCAAGTTGCATCAACTTCATTAGTTGTTAAACTTCATCACTGCTGAGAATACAAAAGTAAATGTGATTCTGTTTTAGCTAAATAACCTCAACTAAAACATCTGATGAATAATTTAAATGTTCTTGTGATTTAAGTCAACCATAAACAGATTCTAAAGAACCTTTTCTCCTCTGCAGTTTGTCTCAGGCTCTTTCCCAGCAGGTCCCAGTTCTTCCAGTATGAATCTGTGACTCTGAGCTGTGAGGGAAACTCGTCTGAGTTTAGAGTCAGACGAAATACATCAAAACAAATAAATGAACTCTGTGTCCGCTATACTGAATGCATCTCATCTGAGCTGTATGAAAGCGACTCTGGAGTTTACTGGTGTGAATCTGCAGCCGGCGAACGCAGCGACGCCGTTAACATCAGTGTAACAGGTGGGATGAAACTTCAACAGTCAGACTGACTCAGCGAGGAGAGACGACCTGTTTGAGGTTTCTGTAATCTGTAGCCTCAGATTACAGAAACGTTTCTATTAAAATCCGACATCAGAGTTTGATGTTCTGGGCTTGATGAGCGTTTCTGTCTCTCCTCCTGAATCAGAGCAAAACTGAATGAAACGAGTATCTAAAAATGTTTGCAACGCAGGTATACAGTTCGATGGAGTTTTAGGGCCATGCTAAGAAAAACATGAAATTATGAGAATAAACTTATATTATTATGAAAAATAAAGTCAGAATACTATCATATTAAATACTATCATCATAAATTATAACATTATTAGAATAAAGTTAAAATAATTTGAGCATTAAGTCAAAATACTTTTAGAATAAACTCATAAAATTAAGAGAAAAAAAGTTTAAATAATACAAGAATAAAATTCCAATAACATGAGAAGAAAGTTATGAAATTACAATAATTAACTATAACTTTATTCTCATAATTTTATTGTATGTTTTTCTTGTCCCTGATCCTGTAGATAATATCAAGTCTATACGCAGATTAATTATTTTCTCCCTCATGTTTCATATAACGGAAAAATATAATTCAGCTGTTATTTTCAAGTATTTAATTGGATTTATTGATTGATTTATTGATTGTGATTGACGTTAGGAGGACGGTTTGGATCCTGAATAGTTTCAGGAGAGAATCAAAGAAAAGTCTAAAACCAAAGTCGTGTCCTCTGCTGTTTACTGACACTGAGATTAAATCTGATATTCAGCTCAAACATCACAGGATCATATGTAAAATGAGTTAATAAAAGGTTTTTTCACTTGAATCTTATTAAATATTCAACATTGTGTTTCTCAGATGCACCTTTGATCCTGGAACGACCTGAACGTCCAGTTGGTGAAGGAGAAAGCCTGACTCTTCACTGCAGAGTGAATCCACGGTCTTTCTCCAGTCTGACTCGTTTCTATAGAAACGGGGTTCTGGTCGGGAGCAGCTCTACGGGACGCCTCACCATCCGGAGCGTTTCCAAATCTGATGAAGGATTTTATAAATGTAACGCCTCTGGAGTGGGAGAATCAGCAGAAACCTGGCTGGCAGTGAGAGGTGATCTAAGAGTCGTTTCTTATCGATCTATCAATAAATCAATAAGTTCAATTCTATTTGTATACAATATCTCAGCAACATGAAAACAAACAAAAAGGCAAAAACAGGCATTACTGATGTGTCTGATTGCAGCTTTAAGCTTCATGTTTTATTTATTTATCATATTTATGGAAGAACAAGAGACAAAAATGTGCTTTTATATTTTTGCCTGTTCGTTTTAAATGAATTAACCCAACATTACCTTGTTTTATGTTTGTAGTTTTATTGGATTAGATCGATGTGAATCCAGTCCATCTGAAATAAACACGGAGCAAATTGATTTCTATGTCTGAGTTGCTTTGACGACTCTTGAGGTGACTTTAACTTTAATTTGTGTTTAAATGAACTGGATAGAAACAGAATTACCTGTTTATTAATCCCCATCAGTTGAATGAGACGTAACCATAAAAATGCATTTAATTCTGTATAAATTTGAACATCTTTCTTCAGAGTTGCGATCACTTGTAAAGTTCAGAGCAGTCATGGTTTTTACTGACCTTACAACCTGCCAGCTCAGAGTGTGTAGCGTTTACATAGAGCTGCCACGGAAAAATACTCCTAAAAGTGAATTTTTTCAAAAAACAAAGTTATACAAGCAAATGTAGCTGACTAAATGGAAATAGTTACTAACTCTGCCCATTTTGTTTGTATGTAGGTCGGCTAACATGCTATGCTTTCATCTTAAAGGACGCAGACCTCAAACGCCTACTGCTGCCCTTGCACACATTCTGCTTCCTGTTAAAACCGTTTTTTCTGTTGATTATGTCGATGTTGTTCTGTTTCTGGAGAAACCACAAAGATCAGTATCTTTTCTAATAAACAAGAATTTCACACCAGCTATGTTTTTGTCTTGAAGGGCCCAGACTTCAAACGCCTCCTGCTGCCCTCGCACACATTCTGCTTCCTGTTGTGACCGGCTTTTTTCTGCTGGTTATGACGATGCTGCTCTGCGTCTGGAGAAACCACATAGGTCAGTGTCTTTCCTAATAAACAGAAATGTCACATCCTGCCGTTTTTCGTTTGAGTGTATGTCAGTTTCTTATTAAACGTGGAGGAACGAGCATGAAAGGAGAATAAAAAGCTGTAAATTGTGCTGCGTTTCAGAGCTACAAACTTCAATCTGCAATATTTTGCTCGATTATAATGAAACTCTTCTTAGTTGTCAGTTTCTTATGCATGTTCTGTCGATTAAATTAAGACTTTAATATCTTCAACATAAAAGACAAACTTCAATTACTTTTTTATTGCTAATTACTTAAATTAGATTTTGTTTGGCAACATTTTCCCTTTATCTTAAATTTCAATTTGGTTTCTGAATATCACTTCTAAACTTTCCAGATGAGGAATAACAATCTCTTACCATAAAGATCAACAGACAATAATAATAATAACAAACAGATTTCGCTGCATTGCACAACTGGAATCTGAACTTTGACCCACATTTAATGTTTAAACCATTTTAAATCCAGCAGCTTGTGTAACAATGAACTGTTTATTTCTGCAGGGTCAGTGGACAGCGTCGTGTCCTACACTGTCATCGTCACACAGGAAGGAAAAACTCACCAACTCACAGGTGGAAAAAGCATCTCTGTCACTCCGTGTTGATCCGAGTTTAATGGTGTAAACTGATCCGCTTTTTGGAAAATTGCTGATATTAACAATTTAAAAAACAGAACCTGAACGCATCATAAACCACCAGTTACAACTGAGGGGTTGAAAACTATTTAGTAATGAAGTAACTTTCTCTTCTTCCTAGTAATAAACTGCGCCGATGCGTTTACATGCTTTTGTCAACATTTTTTAACGCAGTAAGAACTTGGCCACGTTAAAAATACAGCCAACCATCACTATAGTAACAGGAAGTAACTACAACCAGCAGAAATAAAGTAACAAAAATGAAACGAAACAATATTTTTTCTCTGCTTAAATAGTTAATTTACAAACACAAAAATAAAAAAATACCTTGAGATTCCTACACTTTAGCAAAAAAGAGAGCAGACAGAATATTTTCAAGCATAATTGCTGGAGAAACTATACTTTTGTGAAGTCCAGTGATTCTTTTTTCATCTTGATGTTGATCTTCTTGCAGAGCCTCAGGACGGACCGGTTCTGGGACGGGTTCGGTACGTCAGAGACAGTCTGGCAGAAGGACGGCTCAGCTGTCATCAGTCCAGACTCTGGACTGAAGACTCCAGAGGCTCTTTATGAAAAGATAAGAAGGCTGGAGGAGGCTTCTGCTGGGTTAGAGGATCTAATAAAGACTTCACGTTTCTCCCAGCTGTGATATGAGAGCTTTCTTTAGAAATCTGACGCTGGTTTCTTTTAGATGCTTCTGTATCTCTGAACTAGAAGTGTTTAGTAACTGGTTACATTCAAGTGCATGCTTCATTTTAAGGTGGTAAAACGTAATGCTAGTATTTCCTCTCTTCCACACACTTTGCAGATGATACTTTTCTCCTCCTGGTTTTACTGTATGAGATGGGGTCATTTAAACCCCAGAAGTTGTTTACTCTGGACCTGCGAGGTCACAGTGTGCGTTTTTACAAAGTATTTTTCTGTGTAGTTTCAAAAAGATCGCCATCCCATCACAATACGGAATAAAGTCAATAAATAAATAAATCACCCCACAATACAGAATAAAGTCAATAAATAGTTACACACAGGGAAAAAAAAGACTTGTCAGGTTTAATTATGATTTAATAAATCTGCATTGTTGCCATCTTATAATCAGCAATATTTTTTTTGTCTTTAATCAGAAACTCAAATACAAAATAATGAAAACAAATTCATGTCATATTCAGATTCAGAAAAGTATTTTTCCCAATACGCAATTAATTTATAATCTACCACCGCATACATTGCATACAGTAACAGCAAACATGGATACACTTTGCAGGAAATTACAACAAAAAAAGTACAAGCACAACAAATGATTGACATAAAATGACTCTAAAGGCATTTAAATCCACTGCTCCTTTAAGAGATAATTAATGTCTCACTTAAAAAATGTTATGTAAATAATATCAACCAGAATCTGTTGATTTTTTAAAGTGTTTCAGCTCAGTGTTTAAATGTCACGAGCTAGCTGTTAGCTAGCTAGCGCATGTTTACACAAAAGGACACTTCTCAGATTTAATAAACCTTATGTCTGCATCATTGCCATCAAATGAACAGAAATATTTATTTTTGTCCTGAATCTCAAACTCAAACAATTAATATGGAGACACTCACTTTAAAAGAAACATTTAAATGGAAAGGTAAAACTACTAGAACAAGATTTCTTATTTGAAATGCTTTTTTAACAAAGCTGCTACATTTTCAAAACGTCATCCAGCTGTAAATACTCCACTTAAAAACAGCAAGTTACTGAGAAAATTTGTACTTAAGGCTTAAATTATGCCATCATGTGCACATATGAACAGTGAAACTACTTCTCCGAGTGAAACCTTTTCCACAGATTCCACATGAAAAAGGCTTCTCACCTGTGTGAACTCTCATGTGAGCTTTTAAAAAACTTTTGTAGCCAAATTGTTTTCCACAGATCCCACATGAAAAAGGCTTCTCACCCGTGTGAGACTGCATGTGAATAGCTAAATTGCTTTTATGTGGAAACCTTTTTTCACAAATTGTACATGGAAACGGTTTCTCCCCTGTGTGAACACTCATGTGACGTTTTAAATAACGTTTGTCACCAAAACCTTTTCCGCAGGTCACACATGAATAAGGCTTCTCACCTGTGTGAGACCTCATGTGAACAGCTAAAATGCCGTTTTTACTAAACCTTTTTTCACAAATCGTACATGAAAAAGGTTTTTCACCTGTGTGAATTTTCATGTGCGGATTTAAATAACTTCTGTACGGAAATTTTTTTCCACAGATCACACATGAATAAGGCTTCTCACCTGTGTGAGACCTCATGTGAATAGCTAATTCGCTGTTACAAGTAAACTTTTTTTCACAAATCGTACATGAAAAAGGTTTTTCCCCTGTGTGAGACCTCATGTGAATAGTTAAACTGCTGTTTGTACTAAACCTTTTTTCACAAATAGTACATGAAAAAGGTTTTTCACCTGTATGAGACCTCATGTGAGATTTTAAATAACGTTTGTTACCAAAATGTTTTCCACAGATCACACATGAATAAGGCTTCTCACCTGTGTGAGACCTCATGTGTATAGCTAAATTGCTGTTATTACTAAACCTTTTTTCACAAATCGTACATGAAAAAGGTTTTTCACCTGTGTGAGACCTCATGTGAATAGTTAAACTGCTGTTTGTACTAAACCTTTTTTCACAAATCGTACATGAAGGTTCTTCACCTGTGTGAATTTTCATGTGATCATTTAAACAACTTTTGTACCTAAATTGTTTTCCACAGATCCCACATGAAAAAGGCTTCTCACCTGTGTGAGACCTCATGTGAACAGCTAATTCGCTGTTATAACTAAACTTTTTTTCACAAATCATACATGGAAAAGGTTTCTCCCCTGTGTGAACTCTCATGTGATGTTTTAGATGACGTTTACAACGAAAATGTTTTCCACAGGTCACACATGAATAAAGCTTCTCACCCATGTGAGACCTCTTGTGATCCTTTAAAGTGTCCTTTGAATTGTAATGTTTTCCACAGATTGAACATGTGAACGGTTTTTCACATGTGTGAACTCCCATGTGTCGAGTCAAAGAAGATTTTTGAGAATAGCTTTTACTGCAAATTTTACAAGGATATAATTTTTGGTCTGGGTGAGCTTTATTGTGACTTTTTTGTTTTGAACTGCAAGTTTTTATTTTCTGCCGTTTGATTTTCTGGCATCTTTCTTTTTGTTTCTGTTCTTCATCTCTCTTTTTTCCTGGATCTTCAGAATTGCTTCCTTCCTGATCCTGGTTCTCATCTTCAACAGAACCAAGAGAGATGAGTTGGTTCCTCTGTTGTTTTGTTTCATTGTGGATTCTTTTCACTTTAGAAGGAATCACCAACATGTCATCAGTCTCCTGTTTCAGCACAAGATGCTCTTCATCATGACTGATG